TGTGGATAACATTTATTTCTCATCTACTATAGGTCTTTTGGGAAAGGTGTTGTAATATAAAATGATGAAAAAACACAGAGGAGTCATTCATTGGACCAAGCCAAGATTTTTAGTACTAGCATAGACTTGCCTTGCCTCCAATTTGTGTAGAAAATGATTTTGGATTTTATGTATTTTTGGACGTGCATAAAACCAATAAACAAACAACATGCCTTCTGCATTAAATGTTTTGAAAACCCCAGACAAGGAACACCGCAATGCTATTTGGCCTAGGTCCCACAGGGCCGTATGAAGTTATTTTTAGTTGCAGCAAATGTTGTGTGTGAGATTTACATCTACAACTGCCATTTACCTGCTGTAGATTGTTAAAAAATGTTTTTCTGCCTTTATTAGAAAAATAATTGCAGTGATGAAGCACTGGTTTTACTAGTAATTAACGAAGAAAAAAAACAAAGAAATGTTATGCTATGCTTATAAACAAAAGGAACATTGATTTTGAAATTAAAATGAAATACAAGCGAACAAAAGCATTAAGTACTCAAGAGCATTAAAGTGTTGATAATTATTAAACAAATTTTCCAAAACTGTTAAAAGAAATTAATTTAGATTAAATCTCATTCATTTATAACATAGGTTCTCTTGTCTTATAGGCTATATCTTTTTTTTTCTGTAACTGACAATGAAAATTATGTATTATTAATATTATATTTGATTAATTTTGGTGATCATACTTGATGTTTCTTGTAAGAAAAAAAATTTGCTAATAATAATAATAATAATAATAATATATTTATATAGTGCAAATAAACTAATAAGTAAATATATACACAATTTCTTAACCTGGGTTGCCCCTGTGATGCGCTACATTTAAGAGAAATAAAGAACAGCCAACAAGCCTATCTAGGCTATAGACCTACTATAGGCCTCGCAAAGTGTAGAATTACCATTCCAAGTCTTAAATTTATGTGTTGGGCTTATAATACCCAGGTGGAACATTTTGCCTGAATGTACATTACTATAATGTTCAGAGGGTGGGCTTACAACATGATGCGTTTTAGTATTTCAAAGATATAAAATAATAATAATTAATATATCACCTTGCCTATTTTATTTTTAGGTTATAAGGGACATACATGGCATAATTTAATTTAATAAAATATTATTTTAATATTGAAGTACAGGTAAAGATTAGCATATTATTCATTAAAAAAAATAGGACCATTCAAAACATAAAATATATAAATTATAATTTAAAAAAAATATACTACATACTTTAATATAGGTATTAATGCTACCTACTTTCCCCAGTTTGTGAGGGGATGGAAATGCATTTATCAACAAAGATTAATTTGTACAAGGTAGTAGTATTAAAGATGAGTTATCAAATTGGATTGATATTTTGACAAAGAATAAAGCTAAAGAAAGCTTTTGGCATTATCCTTGTGTTTCTTTGTTACTGTCTGCTCTTATCGATTGCTAGATTAATCAAACTTGTAGTATTTTTTTATGATGAGATTTTCAGGTGGACACAAAGGCTGTGCCACACACGCCATTTATTCGTTGTAAAACAGCCACCAATGACACTCCGGCAAGCTCCATTGTGGACGTGCATGACTGCACACCTTGCAAAGCTTCATGATTGCATACAGTGGAAAAACATCAACCGAAAGTGTCCAACAGACAAGCATAGTACATTCACCACTGATCATGCATGACCATGCTCCACACAAAGAGAGGTCATCCAAGTTCATGTGTAATCTCCTCCTTGAAACGGAACAAAGCCCATGCTTTGGCTGTAGAGGGTGCTATTTATATTTTTTAAGTCATGAGAGTGTATTTTAAAGGCCAAAAAAAAAAAAAATTCTTGTGTTAGCCACGTTTTGGGAAAATCCAAAAAATGGGTAGGTCGGTAGGAAGAGTTTTTTTTAAATTTTTATTTATTTTTTTTTTCTTACTAATGTGTTTATGCCTAAAAAGTAGATAATACACAAAAATATAACAAAGACCATTTAAAAATCTATATTGAAGAGCAAAACAATCGCCTAGCACTATCAAATCGCCTACAGTCAAGCAAGATAGGCCTATGCTAGCCTTTTTAGTTGATTTAAAAAAATATATTTTTCGTTGTAGTTAAAAAAAAAACTAAAATGGCGAACCCCAAATTCATACATTTTAGGTCGGTTGGGCGTGATCAACACAATCATTTTTTTATATGGCCTAAATGTTGACTCTAAAAAATACAATTACTCTTGCCACTGTTTTGTTTATTTCAATAAAAGTTAGTTTTCCTCTTGATAGTTCAATGCTAATTTTGCCAGATGTTTACTTGTTCATCGATTTCTCATAGCCGAGTCTCTTTATTAGTAAATAATTGGGATCCTTCATTAACTCCTCTGTACAAATGCTTATGAATCTGGGAACGCATCTACCTCCGACAGGTGTGCAACATAACTGAAGCACATGCATTGTCCTTGACTACATTACTGTACAGGTATATTAAAATGTAAAATACTAAAGAAGAAATGTGTTTCGCTGGCGAGTATAATAGAGGTGAATTATTACATAATCAGATAACAATTACAGATTTATTTGAAATTGTTTCAATTTTATGGTGCATTCTTAGACAATAAACACATATAGGCCTATAGAACAGAATTAATTAATCAGTACAAATATTTACCAAATTAAAAAAATACTGTAAAATCCTAAACACCAAACACAGAGCAAGAAAAATATAAAAAATACATTCAAATCCTTGGAATGTGTATGCTAATGTTTAATGGCACTGGTGGAAATATTGTAATGCTCATAAATTAAAAGTATAAAATACTGTGTATATGATAAAAAAACAAAAAACTACAACACATATAACATTTTGTGAGGTTATTTTTAATTGATGATATATTAATTCTATATATATTTAAATAAAAGCAAAAAACTTAATTTAAATATAATATACATAGAGCAATAAAATGTAAATACTAAAATCTCTTTAAACTCAACAAACAATTAGCATTAAGTGGTACACAAACCTATAGCGACCTTCTTTAATTTCATAATGAACTTTTATTGTCATGAAGTAGAGAAATAAGGCCAATTCTGATAAACATTATCATATAATTGCTGCCCTCTATTGGCAATAAGAAATTAACAGGGTGTCAACAGAGGGCAGAATTTATATGCTAATAGTTATCAGAAGTCTAAACAAAACGAAGAAAAAAAATGAACCCCAAAAAATCAAAAGAATGCTCCTATGGACAGCTAAAAATGATATACCGTATTTTACAGTTAACATCTCTAAAATATACCCCTCCGTCCGAACAGACTTCGTAAATGAGAAAATTAATAATTCAGAGAGTTTGAATTTTCAGGATCTCAGTGTGGTGAGGGTATGCCTAGGCCTATGCTACAAAGTACAGGGCTAGGTAGGCCTAAGCCTTGCCATGGGAGACAAATTTTGTCATGAAATATGACTTGGATTTTACTTTTTCTTGCAACATAATAATACTTTACAGAAGCCAAAATTACCTGTGTTTACTGAGAAGTCTTCATTTGAAATGACATCCAATTTAAAACATGACCATATAATGGCCAAAATGAGTGTTATTATTCTTTTCATAAAGATCACGAATCCATGCGATAAGTGAGACTTACTGTACAATTTGCCTGAACAAGCATGCACAGCTCCAACTTAATTATGATCCTACTTTTAATTATGCTGAACGTTTATCCCTCCTTCAGATTCCATTTATTTCTGACCGTTATAAATATCTCCTTCTTTCTTTTGTATTGTCTTGCTTCCATAGAAAATATGATATTGAACCAAATCTTTTTCCTGTTGTTAATAACCGTCATCTGTCTGATTTTAGATTTAAGATCCAATTTGGTAGAACAAATTGTTATAAATTTACTGTTTTTAATTATTTTCCTTATTTATGGAACGACCTACCTCCAAATATTAGGGAATGTGCAATTAATTCTACAAAATTTAAATATGTAATTAAGCAATATTTTTTAAATTAAATCATATTAAATTAATTAAATTATATTTTTACCTTAACGAAATTATAATTTTCTTTGTAATATTTTTATTAACTTTTTATATTGTACATATGAATTGTGAATTTTTCAGATTTTAATGTTTGTCTTTTTAATGTTTTGGAGAGCCTTTAGATAGTGATTAAGTTCGCTTTTAGGTAATCCTCAGGCTTTTTGCTTTTTGTCATTTGATTCTCCTATCTATTATACTGTATTTTCTTGCCTGGAAATAAATAAAATAAATAAATAAAATAATATATCTCGACTGAAAACGATTGATATTTCTTGTTTTAAACTTAGTTTTATGTCACTCCATTAGTTTGAATGTTTTCTTTCTTAGCTGATGTAACATTTTATATTATTTTTGAAGCCTTTTAAATACATTTTAAAGTGTTTTTTGTAGTTAAAAATGATCGTTCATAATGACGTCATCGCCGCAGATTGGGTACGTAAAATCAAGTTCGTAAATGGGAGATGTTACTGTATTCAAATAAATGCCCTGCTTGTAAAAAACCCACTCTAGAACCTCATTTAGAACAAATGCCTCCCGAAATTAACTCCCCGGGCATTAATATTTTCATTGAATAAACGCACCACCATCCCCCCACACCTTTAATGATTGTAAACAAAACTAATGGAAGCAACATCATTCTCAACACATTCTATTGATTTTCTACTCCAGTAGAATTACATTTTTTTCTATCCACTTTGGGATAAGTAAATCTTTATTACTATGTAAGAACACATTTGGACGGTAATTATATGTTGTAGTTGCACATTTACAGTGAAATAAAGGGGCGTTTATTGGAGTGTATATGTATCCATTTTACACCAACATAAATAAATGCGTCCCTCAAATAAACGCCAGCCTCACAAACTCTTCTCAACAATAAATGCCCTGTGTTGTTTATTCTAATAAACATAGTAAATTCTTTTGACAACCAAACATATTGAGCACATACCTGTGAGGCATTCTGTCCTGTGATTGGCTGAGTGCTAAGATGTAAACTTGATGCAATACTTTGAATTAGACTCTCATCAGACATACCTGGTCCAACACCTGAAATATTATCAAGGGATATTCTTAGAATGGCATCAAATTATAATAGTACACTGTAGATAAGCAAAGGAAAGCAATACTGTAGTACAGTAGTCATGAAATATTGCACTTTTACCCGCGCGCAGGCGTCGTAGATATATCGTAGCCTGATATAGACAATCTAACCTGCGCGCAGGCTTCGTAGCCTGATATAAACAATCTAAGCAAGGCTACGCAAAGCGAACCTACGAAGCAAAAGCATGTTGTTTATTTGTATGTGCAGAAAGACTGCTGCAGCTCACTGGAATAAACAATGTATTGTTTGATAATTTGCGAATGGCAAACACGAGTTTAGACCGTTAATTTAAAGTATGGAACTGTTTTTCAATAAGAAAAACGTACACTTGACTTCATGGGAGTCTCCTCTTCCACTCGCTGTCCACGACAGGAACTTGTTTGTACTGCTGTATTATTTTTAAAAATTAATTAGCCTATGCCTAGCTTATTTTTTTATTTACAATTATTTTACCTCATTTAAAATGTCAAAAAACGATGTCCTCAATGGCAATACACACGTGAAAAGATATTGTTCATCAAATGATATTGTCTTGATTTAGTAAGATAAATAATAAATATAAAGGAGAATTAACGTCCGTTGGTTGTAACATTC